TTCTAGCTTAATTAGTAGTTTTTATTAGCTTTTATCTCTCTAGTTTAAAATCTTATATTTATTAAAAAAAGAATGGGAGCAAGAGAAATTGCTAACAAAGGCTTCAGTTAGTAGGACAATACAAGATTGCTGTTTGTAATTTCTTACTCATTCTTTCCTATATTATTCCAATTTGGGATTGGCACTGGCATTGGTGGGATCTTATTGTCAATACAAAATTATAGATATCACCATATAAATTTTAACTAGGTGTAGCAGAGTGAGTTTGAGAGTTTTTTTTTTTGTTTTGCTAATTGGATGATAAAGCTGCCAGACTGTTTCTTTCATACAGGCTGGCTCTCCTTTTCTGGCTGCCCCAGAACAGACAAAAGTGCAGTCACTCTGGCTTACTGAAATACACAAAGAAAATTCTCTCAGGACTAGACCTCTATTCTTTTCTCGCACTCAAAACCTCTAGGAGACATGTAATGAGGAAATATAGTGTTACTTCTCATCAAAAAGCACTAACTGAATTACAGGCACTCTGGGAAGAGGGAGTAGTTGGTTCTTTTAATGAACCTCTACTAAACAGCCATTGAATGAAGCCAAAAGTTCAGTATTCCCTAGATGATTGAGGGGCTAAAGGTGGTCTCTCTGCTACTCACTGCCAGAATGAAAGTAGTTTTTGGAATAATCAGGATTGGTTATTGTTACTCTAAAGTGTTTTATGGTGTTCCACCAGAATCTTGCTAAAATGCATTGAGCAAGTATTGATAAACTAGCTGATGCACGCCTTGCCCCTAGCCAACAATGATGAGCACTGTTGGATATGTGGCTTTTACTCTTCCAGTTTTCAGGCCATTCTCTTCTACCAGCATGTAACTATTAATGGGATTTGGAACTAATCTGGAACAATTAATGGAATTAATGGAAAAAGATGTTGAGACTCTGAAAAGAGTGCAGAGAAGAGCAACAAGAATGATTAGAGGCCTGGAAGCTAAATCATAAACAATGATTACAGGAATTGAGCGTGTCTATATAATGAAAAGAAGAACTAGGGGAGACAGGATAGTGGTGTTCCAATTTTGAGGGGCTCCTACAAAGACAAGAGGGGGTGGTCAAACTATTTTCTGAAACCCCAAAAGGCAAAATGAGAAAGAATAGATGGAAACTAACGAAGGAGAGAAGCAACCTAGAACTAAAGAGAAATTTCCTAATGGTGTGAGCAATCAACCAATGGAACAGCCTTCAGAAGTTGTGGGTGCTCCATCAGTGAAGGCTTTCAAAAAGAGACTGGATGGCCACTTATCTGAAATGGTGTAGGGCGGTGATGGCTAACTTTTTCCAGACTGAGTGTCCAAAGCATGTGCACACAAACCCCCAAAATGCAATGTGAGCGTGGCCCACATGCATGGGCCCCACCCCTGTGCATTCATGAACCCCCCTGTGCGCTCCCCCATGCTTGCATGCCCACCCGCTTCACCCCTTGTGCATGTGCATGCACCCCCCACATGCACATGTGCTCCCACACACATGTCCCACCCCTGTGCATGCGCGGCAGAGACCTGACGACCAACTGGCCGGTGGAAGGCATACGCACATGTGCAGTGGAGCTGAACTGGGGCAACGGCTTCCGTGCCTACAGAGAGGGTGCTGCGTGCCACAGGTTCGCCATCTTGGATGTAGGGTCTCCTGCTCGAGCAGGGAGTTGGACTAGAAGACTTCCAAAATCTCTTTCAACTCCCTTATTCTATGTTCTATATTGAATGAATTGATTTTACATACCCTACATATTTTAGCACACTGCATGTACTTCTCAGAGACCCTGGGAATTGGGTGGCATATTATTTGTTATTTGGTGGGACATAGGCAACAATATATTGACTTGCAAAGATCCTAGTTTGCTTAAGCTAGTGTGAACAGCTTTAGAATAAAAATAGGCTTTGGTTGTGCTGATGACTTGCTGTGAAAATGTTCCAAAACATACGGCTACTTCCTGTTATTAGCAGAGAAGGCTGCATGTGACACAGGTATGCCTAATAGCAATAGCACTTAGACTTATCCACTGCTTAACAGTGCTTTACAGCCTTCTCTAAGTGGTTTACAGAGTCAGCGTATTGCCCCCAACAATCTGGGTTCTCATTTTACTGACCTTGGATGGATGGAAGACTGAATCAATCTTGAGCCGGTGAGAATCGAACTGCCAAACTGGTGGCAGTCTGCAATACTGCATTCTAACCACTGCACCACCACAGCTGGTATCTTATCTGTACTTTCATTCTATTTGTCACTTTAATTAAAAATTCACTTACAGGGGCCATTGAAACATGCCTTCTGCTCTTCTTTGGAATGATATTTGCCTCCTTCCTTGTTTTCAAAATGCTGGCTGGGGGATTCTGGGAGTTGAAGTCCACCCATCTTCAAGCTACCAAGATTGAGAAACACTGCTCTAGATGTTGAATTACTTTTTTTGAATGTTGATTTCTTTTCTTTTTTTTAAAAAAGGTGGTTTATAATTCATGGCTTTAGTTTTAAAGTTTGCTAATTTGCTTTTAAAACAAAATTACAGATTTGGGAGGTTATATGATGCTCAGAGATAGTTGGTAGGAGCCAAGTATAAGTTCACTAAGTAGATAGACAGAAAGACAGACATTCTGTGAAAGCTTTGATTGACAAAAGCCATGACAGATACTGAAGGCCAGTAATTATGAGCCCAAGAGAGCATGAATAAGATTGTGTTTTGAAATATAAGAAAAACAAATGGTAAAGAAATGAATGAATTAGCAAATGAAATAAAAGAAAAGTAGATGTGTTAGGAAATGGTCATTACCTAACTAGTTGGCCAGGTAATATATAATCCAACATTGTATGTTTGTATTGTGTAAATGTATTATGTTGTTTTAAGAACATTGCTGAGTCATTCTGCATCCTGATTGGATGAGCTCTGTAGCCAATGTATTTAAGGAGAGATTAATTGTGGTTAGTGTGGACACTACACCATATTTTTACCTGCTACTATGCTGTAACTATTTTTGATATCTCTAAATGGTCATTGTTTGATAATAATAATAATAATAATAATAATAATAATAATAATAATAATAAAAGCCATAAATACCTGGGCTATACCTGTGATTAGATACTCTGCAGGAATAATTGACTGGACCCAGATGGAGTTAGACAATTTGGACAGAAAAACAAGGAAGCTTATGACAATGAATCATGCCTTGCACCCTAAAAGTGATGTTGACCGATTATATTTACCAAGAGCAGAGGGTGGTCGAGGACTCCTACAAGTAAAGCAGACTGTGGAAGAAGAAAAATGCAGCTTGAATGATTACATCCAGAAAAGTGAAGAATCAATGATTAAGGAAGTAAATAAAGGAGACCTTTTAAAGACAACTAAAACAAAAGCAGAATATAAGAAAGAAGTAATTGAGCAGCGAGCTGAAAATTGGAAACACAAAGCTCTGCATGGCCAATACTTGAAAAGTATTGAAGGCAAAGCTGACCAGAAACTAACTTGGAACTGGTTAAGATCAGGAGTACTGAAAAAAGAAACTGAAAGCTTTATTTTGGCAGCTCAAGAACAAGCCCTAGCCACAAACTGTATGAAGGCAAAAACTCAACATGTTACCACCAACAGCAAATGCCGCCTCTGCAATGAGAAAGATGAGACAGTCGACCATCTGAGCAGTGGGTGCAGCAAAATTTCACAAACTGACTACCTACAACGCCATGACCGTGTTGCTAAAATCATTCACTGGAAATTGTGTCAGAAGTTTGGATTTGAGTACAGCAAAAACCACTGGGAACATCAGGTTGAGAAAGTTTTAGAGAATGAGAAACTCAAGATCTTGTGGGACTTTAGGATTCAGACTGACAGGCACTTGGTTCACAACACACCTGACATAACAATAGTTGAAAAGAAAAAAGTATGGTTCGTTGACATTGCAATACCTGGTGATGCACGAATTGAAGATAAGCAGCAAGAAAAAATCACAAAGTACCGGGACTTACAAATTGAAGTTGAGCGACTGTGGAAAAAGAAATCGTGTGTTGTCCCGATTGTAATTGGAGCCCTCGGAGCAATACCCAAAGGGCTACCCCGCTATTTAGAAATTCTAAATTTGCCGGACTTGAACATTTTGACTCTACACAAAACCACCTTACTCGGAACAGCTTACATCCTCCGACGATACCTTAACAGTTCCTAGGTCCTTGGTTAGGACTCGAGCTGCTGAGCTATTAACCAGCCTCAAAGGCTGTGAATCTCACTAAAGATTAACCAATAAATAATAATAATAATAATAATAATAATAATAATAATAATAATAATAATAATAATAATTTTATTTCTATACTGTCCTTCTCCCAAAGGACTCAGGGCGGTGTACAGCTATTAAAAGCACAAAGACAAACATAAATTTAAAAATAATTAAAATTATTAAATAATTTCGGTTCAGATTTAAAACCCCAAATTTAAAACACCCAATTTAAAATCATTACATCGATAGCCCAGCCTGGCGGGACAGCAGGGTCTTGAGGGCACAGCGAAATACGCGGAGGTCGGAGATCTTACGCATTTCCGGGGGCAGTTCATTCCACAGGGCAGGGGCTCCCACAGAGAAGGCCCTCCCCCTGGGTGTCGCCAGCCGACATAACTTGAATGATGGCACCCTGAGGAGACCCTCTCTGTGGGAGCAATCATGGTTATTTATTACTGTTTCCTGATATTTATTGAAATGTTTTTATATTGTTCCTGTATGTTCCTTGTATTTTTCTACAAACTGGTAATAAGATTTTATATCCCTGGATTGATCTAATATTGCACTTTATATGGCTAAGACTTGGATTGTTAAAAGACTATGAATTCGCTTTACCTTTAAAGTAAAGTATTATAAAACCAGTTTGTCTGCATGTTATTCACAATTACTTTCAAAACCATTTCCATGCATAAAAACTTCTGATGGTACTCTGCTTTATGACTCGGGTGGTGACACAACAATATCCTTAACAAGATGCCTGTGAAAATAAGAGAAAGGAGAACTTATATAATAAACTAAATGAAAATGATTTGATCTGATGGAGCTGAGTTGATAAGAACATGCAGGAAAGCAAAACTGTAGGTTTAACAGCGAAAGCTAAAATCTGTTAGAGAAACAGAAATAGTACCTCTAGATTGTGCTACATGAATATGAAAACAAAACTCCACAGACTGGGAATTGCTGCATGTTATCCTCCACCAGAAAAATCAGGTATACATTTTGAGATTCTAAACAAATGTAATACAGGGACACATTTTTCTGTTAGGTGATGTAAACAGATGAGGGGGAAAGAGTACCTTTTCATAGACCCAAAGGCTAGAGAGCACTGTATCCATTTGGGAAAAAAAATCTTGCTTTCAATATGTAGTTTAAGCATAAATTTATTCAGAGGTAAGCATGGGCAAGGAATAACTAAAGCATAACTGTTGTTTTATGATGAAAGCTTGAGAAAATTAATGAAGGATAGAAGAATGATAAAAAGTTCTGAATGTAGGACAGATAGCTTTTTGTTTGTGTCAGGAGTGAATCTTGGCCAAAAAAAAAGATAAAACATTTAAAGAAGAAAGAACAATACATGAAATGCTCTATGCTTATAATAGGATGAAGGACATCTTGCATAAATAAAAAATGGAGATAGATACATTGAATGGTATTAGAATGAACTAGATTTAGGTAAGTTTCCATTTGTTATTTCCTACCTTTAATTTCTCTGGCTTTACTAATTCATATTTCCTTTCTGTAATATGTCGCTTACCTTGAGAAGGGATAACATAATGAATGTCGGCATTATGTGATTTTAATTTTATTTCTGCTTTCAATAGCATTGCTTTTATTATTTTACATACTTTGAATTTTTAATTGTTGCAAGGTCCTTGTATTGCTGTATGGATTGAGATGCAGAATACAAATTAAACAAACAAGGAAACAGATGACTATCTGAAGTGGGTGTCAAATGAGAAAAAAGGTTGATTAAGACAATGGATGCTAAAATAGTTTGGCCATTTTTACTAGATACATTTCTATTTCCACTGAGTCTCTAAAAGCATTTCAAACATTGCTGGCTATGAATAGTTCACAAAGTTATCATGCTTTTCCACAGAGAAAGTGAGAAAATAAAAAATCTGCTGTCTTAGGTCAAGGTTATTCACTCAATGTTATTTCATTCCAGTCTTTTAAAAACAGAAAAACAATTTAACATCTAAATGAGTCCTCCTTTCTAATAATGTTTTGTCATCCAAGTTCTTATATTTTATGTTTGCAAAATATTAGAATCTATGTGTGCATAATCTGTTTTTCATTTCATACTATTCAAAATAACATTTTTCTCCACACTTACCATTTAATGCTTTGGTTACACATTATCTCATATTTATTTTCCAGGGAAATGGCATTTATTTTATTTTATCGTTTCACAGACAGATTAGCAGTGAGAAAAATAAATTGCAGAAGTAATTTGGATTTATGGCCAACTGTCACCTGAAAATATAATGCTAGATCTTGAAAGAAAAGCTGGAGCTTAAATGTGAAAATCCTAGCTGGACTATTGCCTGGACTTTTTAATAAGATTATAATTACCCTGGATTTGAGACAATAGTTCTAACAATGATTTTGAGCCAACTTGAATTTAAATAAAGGTCTATTAAATAAACAAATATAGTATTTCATTGTTTACTAAATTAATTGCCTATTGAGTTATAATAAATTGGAATTTGTGGGTATATTAATAAAAAAGCACAATGTCAACCCTAGAAGGCAAAGATTAATGTGCACAAGACTTTCCATTGTCAAAAATGCCAAACGCCTGGCTATACGTTGAGATATAAGATGTTGTGCTGACAAGGTGCCTTTTCTTATAGCAGGATCAATAAACACTTTCCACTGAAAGAGCTGGTTTATTCATGATTTACAGCCAACATTTGCACCAGCCAGTATTATAGAAAAATGTTTAGGCAATGACTGAATGAGCTCTTGTTAGCCATGTCTAAAAATCCAGGTACCACTTCCCACGGCAATGTTAGGTTAAACCAACAATAACTGGTGCATCTTTCACTCTTTCATTTTTGGAAGGGATTGGATTAAAGGTAATTTCCTAGTAGTAATTTATAGCATCTCCTATGGGTAATTAAGGGATGTGGTGGCTCAGTGGCTAAGATGCTGAGCTTGTCAATCGAAAGGTCGGCAGTTCAGTGGTTCGAATCCCTAATGCCACGTAATGGGATGAGCTCCTGTTACTTGTCCCAGCTTCTGCCAACCAAGCAGTTTGAAAGCAAGTAAAAAATGCAAGTAGAAAAATAGGGACCACCTTTGGTGGGAAGGTAACAGCGTTCCATGCACCTTTGGTGTTTAGTCATGTCGGCCACATGAGCACAGAGACATTTTTGGACAGCGCTGGCTCTTTGGCTTTGAAACGGAGATGAGCCAGGAATGACTAGCACATATGTGCGAGGAGAACCTTTACCTTTACCTTAGGGGTAATTACCCCAAAAGGACAATTTGGACATATCCTGGGGGGTAAATGTCTATGGAGATTCTCAATCATCCAGGGGATGGTTATCCCAAAGATGTTCTTCCAAAAGGCAACTAGATTTTCCTGGGTTTTTTTTTTTTAAATGTTTCACTTCTTGTCCAACAAGTTTTATCGGAAGAAATTTCTTGGATGAAAAGTGAAACCATTTTTTAAATAAAATTCAAGAAAGTCCAGTGTCTTTTGGAAAAATGCCTTTGGACCTATCCTGGAGGTAAGAGAACAATTTGTACTTACTTGTTTCTGAGTCGAGGATCCAGTTGGGGGCTGCCACTGCTAAAACCCTTTGTAAAACAACTGGGTTTTTTTGTTTTGTGGGGGGGTAATGCCTTTGAGACTGGAAAAAAGGGGCAATTGGGTCAACCAACTTAAAATCCCCTGTGAGTCATTCAACCATTGCTGTGCCAAAGGATTGGTAATAAGGAAAAGGTTTTAATCAGATTAATGGTAGCTCAGTGATGCTATGAAGAGGTATAATCACTAGTCAGGAAATAGTCACAATAAGTGTATGTGTGTGTGTGTGTGTGAGTGAGTGAGTGAGTGCATACAGTATGAGTGTATTTAACTAATTTATATAGCCATTCATTTCACAGCCAAGTAACTCTGGACCGTGTACAACAAAGCTAAAAATATGTAAAACCATTGTCTAGAATATCTAAAACTATTAATAAAAACACTAAAACCATAAAAATAGATAACACAAGAATAATAGATGAAAGAATATTAGTAATAATAGAGGTACCTCATTAATTCATCACTTCCCCAGGCCTTTTGGCAACTCTATTTGTTTATATATTCAGAAACTACCGGTACTTAGTTTAGGGCATTCTCTAAATTTTATTCAAGAATGGTCCAAGTTGATCAGGAGAAGGACTGACTGCTAAAGAAAAAGTATAGCAGATTCAGAACTTTTCAGAGTTTCAGTGCAGGGGAATCCCACAGCTATCTTACCATGAATCTTTCTGAAGACTCAGGTAATTTTTATAATCAAGCTACTCTGAAAAATTACATACTGTACCCAAAATGAAACAGCTGTTCTGGATAGTTGATCTAGAGAAGCAGGTGATCCCTAATCTTTCCATCTTACTTAACTGTCCCAAATAGATGCCTTGTTATGCCTTGTGGCCTGTATTCATTGCTTTTTCCAGATCCCCACTTTCTTCCCTGACAGTTTTGTGCTAAAAACACAAGGGGCTTCCTTAAAGTGTAGAAAAAGTTAAGAATCTTAGAACTGGGAAAATAGTGGTGCCAATGAATCTTGTCATTTTGAAAATAACCATCTTGTGGATTAGTAAACCCAAATCTCTATAAATTGCAGTTCAGTTCAACAATAACCTTGGACCTATTCTAAACTGACCTACCATTTCCATTGTGGAATGTGGGATTGTTTTGCCAATTATAGAAAATACAATGTTTTGATTGGAAAATCTTATAGTTGAATGGTTTTGATTAAAGTGTAAAAGCCCCAATTATTTGGTGGAAAGCTCTGTTGCATCCAAACAGGACACATTGTGGAACTAAAGACTAAAATTTAAAGCACTTCTGCACGCCCAGCAAAGCTTTATGTTTTGTTTTAGAACAATGTTGGCTTCATATCATGGGGGCTTTAATCCTGTGAAAATTTATGAAAGAGCTCCCTAGCATCCTATACACATGTACGGTAGGGGACGCCCCACCTAATTTAATCAAATTAACTTCTGCACTACAGGTTTGCACAGTCAGTTCCACTGAACCAAATAAGATTTCTTTCCCAGCCAGCACACAGGGGAGTTGGGCTTCAAGAGGTACAAATGACTGATAAACAACATTAAAAGGAATTTTCCCAAGAACAAGATCAAAAGCATGGGAAAAAATATCAACTAGAGGGGACAGGGTGGGGGAGTGGGAATTGAATAGACCATTGGATGTACATGATTCCAAATGATAAGTTGATCTTTTAATGAATGCTAACAGTACTCTCTAATCACCTCTTCCTTATTAATCAAGCTGCAAACCTTGCTTGGCTGAATGTTGAGATTAATGGGTCTTAATGATCAAGGCCAAGCAATGATACTGAACTTGGTGGAGTCAACTCCAGGGGCCAGGAGCCCGAGAAAACCCTCTGGGACTGCTATACATTCAAACTGGCTGGTAACCTGACAAGAAGCAGCATTAGTTACCCAGAGCAGCAGGTACAGGAGTGTCCAGACAAAGGACAAAGGCAGGTACAGGAGTGTCCAGAGAGACAAAAAAGTCAAGATGGCTGCCATGCCAAAGCCCTACTCTCTTCTATGTCGGTTGCATTGGGAGACACTTAAAAATGCTCCATGGTCACCATTGCTGCCTTGGCTTTTTTTGACTCCCTTATAAATGCCCCTAATCCAAACAGGGTTTTCAATCAGGTACCAAAGGCAACTTCCACCCCAGAAATACAACATTTTTTTTTATACACCAGGGTTAGCATATGTCAAATATTTCTGTGACATATTCATTTAGTTTGGTTTTGGTTTGGTTTGGTTTTATATTCAAAAGGCCTGATTGAGCTAGGAATCTAAAAATTGCTAAAATGTCCCGGATTACTGTACTTATTGGTTTCAAATAATGTGAAGCCACTTCTGAGAAGCCACAGCCCTCTGTTCATTTCCCTCAACCCTATTTCTCTTTTGTCTCGCTGGAAGCCAATGATAGCCATCATGCTTCTCCTCAACCCAACCCAATCCCATATTTTCCACCAGACCAGATGTAACAAATACTTTGAAACTGCAGGGTTTTTTTGATGTTTCACTTTCTATGCTTTGGCAATAATATTCAGGAAAAAAAATCGAATTTATCTTTCAGAAGTTGTTATAATATGTATTATGTTTTGAAATATGTTACTTGTATTATGATTTTAAAAGTTGTTAGCTCCCCAGTGTTGACAGAGTGAGATGGGTGGCTATATAAAATAAAATACATATATAAATATATAAATTTTTTCTACAAGTAGTCCTCGACTTACAACAGTTCATTTAGTGACCGTTTAAAGTTACAACAGTCTTGAAAAAAGTGACTTATGACCATTTTTCACACTTATGACTGTTACAGCATCCCCATGGTCATGTGATTCAGATGCTTGGCCATTGACTCATACTTATGACTGCTGCAGTATCCTGAGGTCAAGTGATCCCCTTTGTGACCTTCTGACAAAGTCAACGGTAACACCGAACATTATTTTCATACTATCCAAACAAAATCCTCTCCCCATTTTTTTTGACTAGCAAGCACATTAGAAGTTTTAAGAATGCTGCAAATAGGCTCACAAAATGGGTACTGTGGTTTTGCAGTTGCAGATACTCCTCAATTTATAACCTTAACTGAATCTGGAATTATAGTTGTAAGGCATTGTAGTTGTAAGTCGAGGTACCCGTGTGAACCAAAATAATTTTCTGACCATTTTCAGGGCAGTTGTTAAGTGAACTCTATAGTTGTTAAACGAACACAGGTGTTTTTGCTAGAAACAGGCAAAAAACATTGCAGATCGTGATATGTGACCACAAACACCATAGTCATTAAGTGAATCCAGTCATTTGGGCTTTTTTTTTCTTTTTACCAGAAATTGGTAAATGGTCTCACCTCCGTCACATGAGCACATGCCCTGTTAAGGAAATCAGGAAAAAACATTGCAAATTATGTCCATGTGACCACAGAACACCGCAATGCAGTGGTGAAATCTGAACCGGTTTGCTACCGGTTCACTGGCCACTCATGCATTCTGCGTGCCAAGCACATGCTGTGAGTGCGCATGCGCAGTTTGCACCAAATGTGCGCTGTGCGCGCATGCACAATACACATCAAAAGGAGGCTTAGGAAGGTAAGTAGAACAGTGGGGGGTGGGGGGGCAGAATCAGCTGTGGCGCGCGATCTTGGGAACCTATTTAAAAACTTTTTAAAAGCATTTTTTACTACCGGTTCGGGCGAATAGGTAGTAAAAAAATGCTTTAAAAAAGTAAAAAAAAGGCTTGGATGATCACAGCTATGCTGCACAATCATCCGAGCCTTCCCCCCCTTTTAAAGCATTTCTTTACTACCTATTCGCCAGTGGTGAAATGTAAAATTTGTTACTACCAGTTCTGTGAGCATGGCTTGGTGGTGGTGGTGGTGTAATA